AGCTGTGAACCTGACAAGAGTCATTATCAGAAGAACTGGATCATCATATCCTGATGATTTAAAATCAAGCAACATGGGTAATTGTGACAAGTAAATTCTAATTGGATAACATCAAAATTCTATACATGCTAGCAAGCATATTTTTAGATGTTTATAATGATATTTGGTGCTGAAAGTTCTTTCTTTTTGTTTTTTACTTTTTCCAGTGCAAAAAGGAAAGGAAAGTCTGCAGTCACCACTGCAATCAAAAACATGGAAACAAACATCACTAACAACAGCATTAACAGTACTAGTAGTTGCTGTAGTAGTACATAGGGCAGGAACAGCAGAAGTAGTGAATACAGTAGCAGGAGCAGTTGCAGCAGCAATTTCAGGAGCAGCAGCAGGAGCAGGAGTAGCCATTTTACGATCACTATGGGGAGCAGAAGAAAGAGCATTAACAACAGTAGCAGGTGTAGTAGCAGCAGTAGCGGGTGCAATAGGAGGGGGGGTAGCAGGAACAGCAGCAGCAATATTGGGATCATTAGCAGGAGCACAGTCACAAACTGGATCAGCAGTAGCAGGAGTAATGGCAGGAGCCTCAACAGTAGCTCTAGCAAGAACACAATTACAATGGGCAACAAATAAAATACAGTGGGCGATAGATAAAGTAAAACAGATACTGAGGTTTATACAAGTAGCAAAAAAAGCATTACCAATAGTATTAGTAGTAATTGGAGTATCAGGACTAGCAGCAATTGTAGCAGGAGCTGCTGCAGTAGCAGCAGGAATAGCAGGAGCTGCAGCAGCAGGAATTGCAGCAGGAGCAGCTGGAATTGCAGGAGCAATAGCAGCAGGAATAGCAGGATCAGGATTTTTCAGTGGAATACTAGGATTTTCTGGAGGGTTACTACAAGGACTACTAGGTATTTTTGGATCACAATGGGGAAAACGGACACAAACAGCAGTGAAGGTAAGAGTGCAGATATGAATAACATGACTGCTTTATTGATAATTACATTTATATTCATTTTCAAAATCACTTAATATTGAAATAAATCCAGATACTCAAAACAATCGTTTTTTAAAGACATTTCAATTAGAAAACATGATGCATGAACACATTCCTAAAAAAATATTCTTTACTGTAGTCTTTATTAGGTTAAAGACTACAGTAAGTAAAAGTAAGTAAAGACTACAATTACATTAATCTGAAATTTCCACATTCTTTACTCCAATTGGGATGTTAACAACAACAACAACAAAATTTAAATAAAGAAAATAAATAATTGGGGGAAAAAATCAAGTCACACATAAGATCAATAATCTTATGACACGACAGTTAAAGTCTTTCAGGCTTCTGTGTTAAAATGTGCAATGTGTAAAATATAGTGTAAATCATCATTAGGAAGCAACCAGCGGTGGACAAAGTACACAAATCAAGTACTTGAGTAAAAGTACAGATATGTATAATAAAATATTTGCATTATATGTATAATGAAAGTCCAGTAAAAGTATGAAGTACTCCTTTTCAATTTTACCTGAGTGAAAGTACAAAAGTACTTGATTTTTAATATAAAGTAAAAAGTACTGATTGATGACTGTTTATTTTGTAATTTTATATAGGCTACTTATGTAATTTAAGTTTATATATATTTTTATATACCATACCTGTCAACACTCCCGTAATTTGTATGGCCCTACCTCCTTATATGAATAATCACGTCAATATATTATTCCATATATGGTTGTCCAGTTGCCAGATCTTGTATGAAACGCATCCTACTTGCACAATAGACAGATCATACAATTTTGAACCCATTTGTGACCCCAACCTGGCAACCTACGACTCAGTTGCGCTGTTGATATCTGCGCAGGTAGACAGGGGAAGTTGAATCAAGCATCACTACTAGAAATGGCATCAGGAAGCTCAGGTGGTGCTACGGCGAAAAAAACAAAATATAGCTGCAAATTTAACAATAGCTGGACGGAGGAATTTAAAGGGGTGGTTGATTGCAATTTCACTTTTTTTACTTTAGTTAGTGCGTAATGTTGCTGTTTGAGCATAAACAATATCTGCAAAGTTACGAAGCTGAAAGTTCAATGCAAACGGAGATATCTTCTTTTAAAATTCTGGCGGTTTAATGCCTACAAAAACGGCTGGTAGGGACTACAACAAATTACTTCCCGGGTTTGTGACGTAATAAACCCAGATAAACCCCACCCTCGGGAAAAGGCAGCAAAGGGGGCGAGGCCTGCGCTGCTTTAGAGAAGAGGAAGAGAAAACTAGGGGTGCACGTAAAAATCTATTCATATATGAATCGCGATTCTGTCTTCTAACGATTCTAATGGATTCACAAGTTTCAAAATCAATGTTCAAAAGCAGACAAACAAAAACATAGGCCTACCATTAAAAGCCATGCTTGTACAGGTTCTGCACGATCCTCTTCAATAATATCATCTGCATCTCAAAAAAATATGTATATAGTAAATATGTGAATATGTATTGGACATATATGTAACTACTGAACAGACAAAGTAGGATAGTGGGGCATAAAAACATGGGAGTATTTTAAACATCATGAGCTTGTGTGCACACAATGAACAATGGCTTTAACAATGGCTTAATGTTGGTGGCATCATATTAACATTTCACCAATAAATAGGAAATATTTTGAAACTCTACAGAGTTAGCAAAGCTCCACATCCATTGTTTTTACATTTATTTTTACGACCATTTACCTCTGTCTCTCTGAGCACTCATTTTTTGTTTTCATGGCTTGTGTAAATACCCCTACACAAGTGAAATGATATAGGACACCTTATTACACTTTAATATTTAGTTTTATTTTTTTATGTTAATGTTACATCCCTCATCAATCAATGGTGGCACATCTAGGGATATTATTAGACATAACATACAAGATTTATGTGTGTGTGTGTATCAAGGTGGGAGATGAACCACACAAGGAAAGAAAACGACAACAAAATCAATACTTTAGTCACAATGTTTTTCTTTTAAAGTGCTTGAGAGAAAGAGTGAAGTAGTAAAGTAAATATTTACAATATGTATGTGACGAGTGGGGTGGAGCCGAGAGCCGTGGGAGCGGAGTGAGGCCAGTGGCGTAAATAATAATGAGCGACACCTGCGCCACTCACCGGTCTCGAGTCCCACGGAGGAGTTCCGGAAGGATAAAAGATGGAGTGACGACAGTGAAGGACAAGAGAGGACCCGGGGGCTGTTTCATAAAACAAGTTTACCAAATAGGCCAGGCTTATTTCAGTAAGTCTGACTTATTTTCACTTGATTTGGTTTCATAAAGCAAAATTACCATAGCTCAAGCTCAGTCACTGTGGCAACTTATGCTGGGAAACTATCCTGGTCCGGGGCAGGCTAACTGTCAGGCTAAGCTGAGCTCCTCTAACGCTGACCAATAGGAACGCATTGATATTACGGTGCTGACTCTCTCACATACAATTATTTGACGTTATCAGTCCAAAAATAAAAGTATACAGAAAATGCAACTTAAATAGGCCTAAATCAAATAAATAAAAATATAGGCTACAACCGACTGTATTTAATGTATTGTGCCCAAGATTTATTTACTTTGTTTTAAGATATTTGAAAACATTTTAACATGCTGCTACATGCGCATTCAGTTGATCAGCAGGTTCTAGCCATGCAGCCTTTCTCTCTGGTTTTATGACAGCTGTACTTTATGGTTATTAGTACAACATTAAAACATTCTAATATAAAATTGCTCTTTAAAGCATTAAAAACACTAAGTTAAAAGTTAAAATCACAATTAAAAATGAAAATAATACACATTAACTCATTTGAGCTAGTATTAGCTAGCTTACATTTGATTTACAGTTACTGCTATCAAAACAAAACACTTATATGTAGGATTAAAATTCAACATGCGTCACATTTAATGTCCAACAACAAATATTTTAGCAGAATGCATATTTTATTCAGAATTATTGAGCTATTATTCTATTGCGTTCCATTTGTTTAGCGCGCATGTGTGCAACAGCGCTCGTTCACTCATGTAAGCCTCGCCCGCTCCTGACAGCAAAATGGATATAGTTGCATGACTTTCTAACATTTACAGTTGAAAAATATACCTGTGACGTGTCAGTTATGCACCGAGGAAAACACAATGTCTCAAATGCATTAAACAGCACAAATATTCTCTGTTTGCAATGGTGGATCGATTTGATCCATGATCGACGTTAAGGACTGCTTAAGAATAAGCGTGCACATCAAATTATCCTGACTCATTTAACCTGGATCGAATTAGTGAGATTGAGTGAACATAAATGGTCGTTTATGAAACCGCTTTAGTCCCGATTGATTTGTTAGGTTATTTTAAGTCAGGTTTTGGACTTTAATCCCTGCTTTTCTTAGCGTCTTTTATGAAACAGCCCCCAGGACTGGATTTTATGTTGTTGTTATATTATGTTTTATCATCACCCAGCCCAGACTAATCGCCATTAAAGTTAGAGTGGTTTTTAAACTGCCCGACAGCAGGCAATTGGTGACATGATCACAGACGTCAGCATCTTACGTCAGCAGAGTGGAAGTCAGATCCTCCAATGAACTTCACATCTGAAACAGACAAACGTACATAGACACGCTCATGCAACAACATATGCATAAGCAAGTTTACATAGCGCAGCGTACCTAACAGTTAATATTTTATATGCACTTTCATATTTAGTTTTTAGGTGCTCCTTCCTTCAGTAACAGTCTTAGCATTACAGCATTACTCAGCATCTTAGCTGCTGAAAGTGTTCAGATCAGACTGAAACGATCAGGGATCTTGTTCAAAATAAATTTGAGTAGCTTGTTTCTAATGTTGGAACCATGAATCTTTACAGACAGATGAATCTCCAAACATAGATGGATCTCTACAATCAAACAACTCTTCACAGACAGATAGATCTCTCCTGGAAGAATCTCACCAGATAGTCGAAGCTCCACAGACAGGTGAATCGTGGGCTAAGGAGACAACAGACCAATCTCCTCTAATGCCAGGTTAAAAAAACAAAAAACTTTTTAGTTCATTCACACTTTGTACAGTATTTGTTCTTTATATTTCAGATTTATTATTGTTTCAGCAACACTGTGAATGCACTATTTGTTGAAAGGCCTCTAAAAAACACTAACTGAAAATATAGCCGCATGCTGCAATCATCAGGGTCCAAGCACAATGGCTTATGTGGATGATTACTTATATGTGTGGTTCAGGTATCTTACTTTATGGGGACAAAATGTCCCCACAAAGACAAACACATGTAAACTAAGAAACACAGGAGAAAAGCAGGAAACCAAAAACAAGACCATCTACAGAGAAACATCAACTGACACTGAACAAAGGAAGCACAGGGGGGTATTCTAGAAAGCAGGTTATGTGACATATCTGGGTATGTTTAAGGGTAAATAAGCCGATAAACTCCGCTTTCGGTTCCAAAAACAGAGGTAACTCCCAGGGTAATATAGTGTTACCTTATATAATACTTATAATAGTGCTTTATAATTAACATATCATACAACTATATATACACATACATACATACATACATATAGTTGTATTTATAGGGGAGAGCAGGGTGATTTGAACCGGTGGGGAAGTTGAGCCACCCCTTCTTTCTAGACAACCTTAAACAAAATTGGTGATATGACCACAAATATATGAAGACTTGTCCATTTTACTCAACATGTGATGGAGAGATAATATGGGATAATTGGTAACTACATTTAGGTTCAAAAAACTGTTTTGCAGACACTGTTCAGAGTGATTTTTTTTATGTTCAAGAACTCATGCTTGTCATGTCTGAACAATTGCAGACAAATCTTAAAAAAATATCACACATGTGTTTGTGCTTTAGGCAGAAGCGGACTTAACCATTAGGCAAAGGTAGGCGACCGCCTTGGGCCCCCAAAAGCAAAGGGCCCCCTAAAATGCTTTTTATATGCGAGATACGCGTTCAGTGCGGACGCACAAGTGGTTGCTCTGATGTTCACTACGACGACAACCGTCTGTGCGTCCGCGTTGAACGTGCTTCGTAGCAAAAGTAGAGCGATGTAGAAAATAGGGACGGAATCCCGGAATCTATTCATAAAAACGGAATTTACTGTGTAACGCGGAATGTGACGGAATGAACGCGCAACGCTCGCGGTTGTATTTATTGTAAAGCTAAATTGTATTTTTTCCATTTAATATTCACATACACTAGTCCATATCGCGGTTTGATTGAAGTGTACTGAATTGCATTTGATTTATTCATTCAATATTTGACAAATTCCGTGACATTGCTCGTTACACAGTAAACTTCTGTTGTGTAGCATTTTGAATGTACAAAATTGTTTAATTTTCATTGGGAAAAAAGATAGATTCATGTTTTTGCCTTCATTTGATTACCAGAAAAATGAAAATACACAACACAATTTCTAAAAAATAAGTAAATAAAATAAAAATTAACATTTCATAGGGCCCTACTATTGTATACAAATTAATAAATTAAGTTGTTTTTATGAATTCAATTAATTAGATCTAAAAATGATCTTTTAAAATGGTTAAATAAACCATTAAAATGGGATACAGAAAAATTAAAATGGAAAGCACAGAATTTGGGCCCTAAGAATGTAATTTTTGTTAAACTTTTAATAGGCCTAAATTGCTGTTAAATTAAACAAGTTTCATGATTTTAATTAATTAGACATGTTTTTTGTTAAAATTTAATATAATCATCCAGAAAAATTAAAACGGAAAAAAAAAACTGAATCCAGAAAAATTTAAACGGAAATCTTTTTTTTGGAAAAAAATAAAACTTAGGCTAATCTGGGAAAAATAAAATGGATTTCATAGGGCCCTACAAATATCATGCATCTGAAGCTAAAATTTTAATACTAAGCAACAGTGCATATTACTGTATATAGGGCCTATTTTAATTTTTTTAAATGGGCTCACTCGTTTTTGTGAAGGACCCAAGAAGGACCATGCACAGTCACTTTCCACACAGGCACACTTCACGTTTTGTGGAAATAATCCTTAAGCATGTACATTTATAATTTCCTTCAGTTTAATTGAAATGTGCAATTAAAATAAATAAAAAATAAATGTATATTTTAAAGTTTAGAATTAGACAGGCTTGCGTTGTGTAGACAATTGCATAGTGAAAATTACCCCAACGCACCACCCAGTGTCCAACCTACTCCAATACTATTATAACCAGTTTAAATATGAACAAGGGATTTACAACATTAAAAAAATCCTTTATTTATAACATGTACATGAAAAATCTAAAAGATTGGACACAACTATGGGACACAGTCGTGCAGCAGCGAGCAACAGTGAAAGAAACCTCAAGGTTGTAAATGTGTGAAATTGTATAGGGCCCCATTCCTGTATTTTGCCTGGGGCCCCCAAATCACTAAATTCGTCCCTGGCTTTAGGAAGTTATAATATGAGGCTATACTGTTAGTGTGATGTTAGATCTAAACTGCTGGATGATACAAGTTATTTTTTTAAATGGTAGGAGTGGAGTAATTTGAGCCAAAAGCCCTGGGGTAAGTTGAGCCAGTGGCTTACCCCTTCTTATGATTATTAAGTGTTATTTTACTGTAATTCTACATGAAATTTCATTAATTTTAGACCAAACATTTTTGATTTTGTTGTTTGTTCTTTGTTTTGAATTTAATTTTGTTCTGAAAATTTTAAATAGGCCTTGTTTATGAAAATTGGCCATTGAAGTTTTATGAAACTTTATTTCCCTGCAATATTTATAAGTGGGATGTTAAGTAATATTAGCCCAGTTCTGTAAAGTTAATTGCAGTCAGTTTTTTTAATTCTTCAATTTGAACTTTATTTTATTCTTAACTTTTTAAATAATTGTAAAAATCTCTTTAAAGTTGTAAACTGTATCTTTAAATAAAACTTTTAAGAAGTCATCCATTCTATTATCCAAACCTATTTGTCCATATTAGGGTTGCGGGGAGCTGGTGCGTAACCCAGCATCTTGAGCCACCGGTGGGGAAACTCCCTGGATGGATGTAAGTCCATCACAAGGCTCAAACATAGATTTTAAGTCATTTTTATTGAATTTCTCTTATTTTGATATAGTATGAGGTGAAAATGCTCAGTTTTACTTCAGCATAATCAATGGTACAGTTTAAACTGAGGCTCAACTTACCCTCTCCCTAGGCTCAATTTACCCCACACAGGGGTAAGTTGAGCAAAGAGAGCACTTTTTTGGAAAGCCATATTAAGAAAGCAGTTTATTTTAGATCCAAAGTGATTATTCCCAAAGATGCACCACATCCTGAAATGTATGTACATATTTAAGTTGGACCCATTACTGTCGTGTGCTCACTTTAAACACCGTAAGTAAACTACTCAGGAGCAGGTTATGTTCAGAGAGTAAGTTGCTTTGGCTACTTACATACCCTGAAGTTACCTCCAGTTTTGGAACCGAAAGCGAAAGAGTTTATCTGCTTACTTACCCTTAAACATACCCGGGTATATCACATAACCTGATTGCTGGAAAACCCCCAAGCACTGACAAGTTATTGTTATTGATGTAATCTGTTATTGATGTTTGCAACAATATTTGACTGAAAGGATAAACATTATGGTTATTTTCTTCAGTTATGTTAGATTTAGCATTCTGAAATAAAGCAGTGCAGTAAAATTACTTTTAATAATCTTATTGATTAGCATATACAGTATTTTAATTAACTTATGTGTGTGTGTGTGTGTGTGTGTGTGTGTGTGTGTGTGTATGTTTATGTGGTTTATGAGGACACAAATTAGTATAATGACATGGGTATGGCACAGGCATTACAATATAAAGGTGATTTATGAGGACACTTTCTGGGTACCCGTAATTCAAAAGGCTTAAAAAACATACTCAATTGTGTTTTTTTTGAAAATCTAAAAATGCTGAAAGTTTTCTGCGAGGGGTAGGGTTAGGTGTAGGTCGATAGAAAATACAGTTTGTACAGTATAAAAACCATTACGCCTATTGCAGGGCTTGACTGGCGCTAAAATTTGGCCCTGGAAAAAATCTAGCCTGTCCGATGCGTTCACCTGTGAATGTTGTTGCTGGGGTTAGGGCCTTAAAATGGAGGAAAACATTAATACAAAAAGGATAGAAATGCACTTGACAATAAAGCACTTTTGAACTAGGATGCAGTAAAGTAAATTTACTGCTATTAAATTATCTCATCTGTGAAAGAAATTTTGAAGAATGTTGGTAACCAAACCATTTTGTTAAAAAGTTAACACCTAATTTATGTGAGACACTGACAGGCCTATTTATATTTCATCAAGCTCTAATTGAATTAACATTTTACTTCAATTAAAATTCATTAGAATGATTAAAAAGTTCAACTATTTATAAGATCATAGTCACAATGCTCCTTGTTACCATGGATATGGTTTATAAAATAAATAAATAATAATAAATACAAATTCATAATAAAAAAGGTAAACACATGCAGAAATTATGAAAATAGCCTCTATGAAAGTGATTTATATTCCCCAATATTTAATAAAATAATAACAACAACATTTTATATATAGCACATAATTGTATAACACAAAATTCTGAGTCAAATCTGAATGGATCAAGCGACTTCTGGAGTTTATCACTTGACAGAGCTGCAGAAGCAAAGCGCACGTTCAGTCTGCTTTTGCGCATGGCTGGCAGATGCACGGTTTAATTGGGTAGCACCATTTCATCACACATTTTGATTATTTGCCTTTTGAAGTTACCGATGTGCTGCATTTTAAAAACAGTGCTTTATATAGGGGAGAGGGGAGATCTCCCTTCACCGATCTGCCCACTACTCAACTGGCCCACCGGGAAAGTCCCGGTGCTCCCTATGGCCTGTACATGTCTGGTGTGCGCACTTCGGTGAAGGCAGCGCATTAATATAGAATGGTGATTAAACTGACTGGCATTACTTGTGCATTCAACAGTTTTATTGCACACCTTCCAGTCAATCTGAATGGAATATTCAGACAGACCATGGTATAAATTAAAATTAATACATTAAATCTCTATTAATAACACCAACATAAAGCAAGTATTTTTGTAAAGACTGAACTGCTGATCAGTGTAGATGCATATTAAGAGTTTAAGAGAGGGGGGGGATATTGCCATTTTAAATTGCTATTAAAATTAAGCAGTGAGGATATTGGACAGGGGGAGGCAAATGTAACTCACTTTGTTCTCATTTACAGCAAACGACATTAAAAAAATCCTGGAAAATCTGGGTTTGATGGAGTACTATGATAAGAAGCTCACTCTACACACAGTGCTGCAGATCGACAAGAACAGTGTCACGGATGTGTCTGTTCAGTCCCTTTCAGATCTGCCATGGCTCTTCTTGAAGAGACTGATCATGTTACAAAGGACAGCGAGGAGTGTTAAGTGTTCCTCATCAGATGGGACAGAAGATTCAGAGTGGGATGATGATCAGGAGAATAAATCAGACTGTCCTCAGTCAGTAAATCCTTTAGATATTTTGATTGCTATCTTCCTTTGTTCTGACAGTTTTCTTCAGCAGGAAATGATCATAAAAATGTCCATGTGTCAGTTTGCTGTTCCTCTGCTGCTTCCCTACAGTGATAATAATCAGATCACTCTTATGCTTTGGGCAATGAGAGATATTGTGAAAAAATACAGACCACACTCATTATCAGATACAAGTGCATTTGTGGAAGAAAGGATTGCTCTTTCAGAATTACCTTTAGTGTCTTTTGTGAGACTTGGTAGATGCAACATTTCCAAATCAGAAATTCTGAATAAGCTGCTCAGCAATCCACAGCAGTACACTGATACCTTTGTGCACTTCAACATGGATTGTGGAAACATCAGTAAGAAAATATCAAATGGCTTGGTTGAGATGGCCTGGTATCTTCCTTGTGGAAACAAGAACATTGATGTCTTTCCTGAACCTGTAGCGATTGCCAACTTGAGAGGTGACATTCAGAACTTTGAAACACAGTACACTTTTCTTTGTGAGGCTTCAACTGCTGTGTTTGTGTTCTTTGAATCCCAACTTTTAGATTCACAGTTAATTTCAGTCCCCAGCCAGAAATCTATGCCTCAGTTATTTTTGGTGGGGAACTCCAACAATGAGAACATAAAAGCTACAGTCCACAAGCTCAATCTGAAGAAAAGCAATTTCATCTTTAAAGACAGGCAGAATGATGCAGACTTCGTTGAAAAAATTCAGAGCAAGTTACAAGATGCAATTAAGAACAACAATCACAAAATGTCAGTTGTTCGTTTAGCTGAGATTGCACGAAATCTGGGAATCTTGGTGGATGAGGATGCTGAAGAATGTCAGTGTGCCAAAGTAAGTGCACATGAAATCACATCCAAAATTAATGACATAGTGCAGTTCAAGAAGGAGGAGCTGTCCTTACAAGGGGAAATCTTGATTAAATTGGCAAAGTTAGAGAAGGAAGAATGTCAGTTGAAGAAAGTAGGGGATATGAGTGTTCAGAACTACAAAAATGACCTTTTGATGCAGAAAAATAAACTCAGAGAAGACCAATGCACCAAAGACATGTCTACAACTATGAGCTGCTTTATCAAAGCAATATCAACACCAGAAAGAGCCTACTTCTTAAAATGGTTAAGAATCGCTCTAGAGAATAAATCTCATGAAGTACTGCCTCAACTCAGAGAACTCTACAAACAGAAATGTAAAGATGTTTGTGGGAACAAGAAAGAAATAGCTGAGCTTGATAAAAAGATTTCAAACAGTTCTTTAGGAGTGGAGCATTTCATTCGAGAGATGAGCCAGCTTTACGAAGCTGCAGTCTCACTCCCAGAAGATGCACTTTACCGAAAACAGCTGGAACATTTACCTAAACTCTGTGCTCAATGGAACCCCCCCAATGGCACCAGTGAGTATTGGCTATAGTGAGTCTGTGTATGCTCTCAAAAAGCATATAATGGAGATCTTCAAAGATTACAATCCCAGTGACATCAAGGAATTTCTTCAATGGACAAAAGACTTGTGGACTGCTGTGAAATTTGAGAAATTCATCTTCAGCTTCAGAAACAGCCTGGTGGCTGATGCATACATCAAACTGTGCACAGAGTACAACAGCTGGGACTGGACACTGAGAAAACAAATGCACACATGGGCATTAGAGGCTGAAACGAATATCTTAAACCATGGAAAATTTGAAAGCTCTGAGCAGTGCACCATTGAAGATGTCCATTGTCATTTACTACGAGAAGCAGAATCTGAGCTTTCAAAAGGACAAGACGAAATTATTGCCAAGATCCAATCATACTATGAACAAGGAGAAGGTCATGTTGAACTTGTGGAAAGTTATCGACAAGACTTTATAAACTCTGCCAAGTCTTTGAAGACAGAGCTTTCAAATTCAATCAGAATCAAATTGGATGCAGCTGTTTCACGTCGAAATGGAATGATGAAGTTGGAAGGAATCAAAAAGACATACATGGACACAATGGAGAAAAAAGTGCTGAACTTGCTGAAAAACTGTCGTGAGAATAAGTCAGACATGTCAGACTCCGTGCTGAATGAAGCATTTGAAAAGATGTGGCAGGAGACTGTCAGGACATTGTCATACACAGTGCTCAAACCACAAGATATCATGACAAGAGTCTTTCATCATTTGAGGAAAAATCTTCAACCTAGAGGAAGTTCAATGGCTCAAAGCTTAGACAAAGTGAAGGATCTGCACAATCAAGGCCATGGAAATTTTGTTTCCCCCAAAGGTAACTTTTTCTCCAAGTTCTGGAATGCTCAGAAGATCAAGAGGGTTCAAGAGATGTCAAAGAAACTTATCAGGGATTGTTGGGAATTTGTTGAAAGAAAGAAGGAATGTAAGGATGATTATGATGACACATACATCAGGGAGATTCTTAACATGATTGATGAGAAACTTAAAGCTCATGAAGATCTTAAGCTAAAGGAAGATTTTGAACTCTCCCTTAAATTATACATATGTGGCTTTGCAAGCAGAGAATTTCAAAAGATTCACAATCAATTCATCCAGGAAAGCAACCCACGAACAACCTTGGAGAACGCCAAACAAACATACCACTCTGACTTCATTGACCTTTATCGTGAACGAGACCAGTGTCAGAAGAAAGCTGATGAATTCATGAGTAACTGTCTAAAACCTGCCTTGGAAAGATATATTTCTGAGAACTTGGGCATGGAAATGGCAGACAAGATGGTGACTGGTGAAAACTCAGCAATTTTCGGATCACGGATGACATTTCAGGTTTCAGTCTTGAAAAATATTCTCTATGAATCTAAATTTCAAATATATTTGCATTTCATTGAGTCATATGAATCATTTGTTAAAAAGTTCATTTTTGACGAAGTTAAAAAGCACTTTACAACAGAGAACAGAATGATAAAATTAGAGGAAAGTCTTGTAAATGAAGTCATCAGTGAAATTACTCGGGCAATCGAAGAGTCAGAACAAGACTCAAAGAAAAATGACATCAAGGGATTCATCGAAAACATCTGCAAGAAACTTGAAAATAGACTTGTTTTTCCCAAGGACGCAGTGGATAAAATCAGCACACTGAACAATGCAAATCAGAAAAAATTCACCGAATGCCTTCAGTTTTCTGTAAAGGACATGGATAAATCACTGAAAGCAAGTTTCCAAGCAAGAATGTTTCAAAGTAAAATACGTCATCTTCAAACCAAACCACAGGATGTGCTGTTCAAACGAGTGCAGGGCTGTGGGAAACAGTGTCCATTCTGTAAAGCACCATGTGAGGCTGGAGGAGAAGTCCACACTAAACACTTTGTCTCAATCCACAGACCAGAAGGTCTTGGCTGCTGCAGTGAAATATATTCTGACAAACTAGTGACAGACATCTGTACAACATCGGTGCACAGCGACTCATGCTTCAAGTGCCATGACACCAATGATCAGTGGCATCCATATAAGGAATACAGTAAAATCTATCCAGACTGGCGAATTGATCCAGACTGCAGCGCAGAGGCCTCAGCATACTGGAAATATGTGATGGCAAAATTCAATGAGGAGTTTGCTGATGAATATGATGTGGAGCCTGCATATATCCCCTCATCCTGGGAAAGCATCACAGAAGCCCAAGCAAAGGAAAGCCTTTAGAAAACATCAAACACCAACTCTCTGGTCTCTGATTAAATTAGTTTGGTATGTGATGGTAAAAAATATTAAAACTGACATCTTAATATCGAGGTATCCATAGAAAAAATATTATATCTAATATTAGAAGTACAGAAACCGGCTTTGGTTTATTAGTTAATGTTTGCATGTCATGATTAATGCATGAAATAGAGAACAGTGGAGTGCAATTAGACCAAATGCTTCACATTTAAACAAAGCAACAATTTTATTAGGATTCCTGATACACAGACTACAGCTTGCAGTTGTTCTTGCCATGAAAGAAGTCATGAAAAATTAAGCAATTTTTTGATTTCTTACAATAAATCCATCATTCAAATGTTGTATATACAAGATCTATTCTTAGTGAAACATTATTATTTCACCTATACATTCATGGATACTTGTTCTCTTGACATGCCTTAGAGTTATTGAAAATGTTATTTTCAAATTAGTTTTTAGACATTTTGTTTAATTATTGTTTTTCTTTCTTTCCATCTTTCGTTCTTTGATTGTTGAAAACCCTTTTTATTTAACATTGTGATGATTTAAATATTACTCTCTGATTGTTAGTTATATTTTTACAGGCTATGTTTTTGAGTTTCATTCTATTTGAGTTTAATTTTAATAAGTTTAATCTTGTCTATTGTAACTGTATTGCTGTTGTTCTGTGTGTTACATATACATGCATTTCTTTATGATTGAGTTCACAACACTGCTGACATCTGCAACAGGTTAATTCTGGAGACTTTGTTTGCCAGTCACAAGCAAACAATGTTACCTAAATAAATACTTATAATTGTATGGTTAAATGTGATTGTCTGTTGTGCGTCTACAATTCAACATCAAACAACTAGCAATCATATTACAATATATAAAAATATAAAACATCACAGTAATCACATAGGCATATCAAACTTTTATACACATTTGCTGGATCTCCCATTATGGGCTTTGAATGTCTTCTGTAGCATCTTACATCTTTTAGAAAACAGAAGTTGTTCTTTCAGGTTCAGCAATGTGAACTGACACTAGTGCGCATCCTCCTACCTTCCTTTTGCAATATATGTGGGACTAAGTCACCTGATATGTAAATGATTTAGATGTTTAAAGATATACAGTATAGAATGTCCTACAATATTAAAACCAAAGGTCTATGAACCATAGCAATGGCATACAGTACAACCTTTTACCTTTGTTTCAGCATTTCATAAAATGAGTCTTCAAAACGGTCCAGTCAACATTTTATAATAATTCAAGAGGCAAAGACACGTAGTGACAAATTCTATATGCATTCAGCAAAAATGCTAAATAAACCAAATTCAACATAATAACTTTGAATTAACTCTTATGTTAACATAATACTACAGCTGCTAACTAAATTATGAAAGTACTTGTCTTACAAAATAATTTACACAAGACAATAGAATAGAATACATGACACTGCCAAACAGAAATGCTATTGAAGATATTAAGTGCAATTATATGGTGCAAATTAGTAATAACTACTACTGAATTCAACAAGATTTTTATACATTTCATCAACTCAGTCTGTCACATTATCTAATATATGAAAACAGACAAATACTATTATACTATTATATACTATTATATATTATACTATTATAATTTAGAACTTGCTGAGCATCAGAAATTCATGAAATTTTACGTTTCATGTGTGAACCTGAAAAAAATGTCCTGTTATATATATGTACCAATATGGAGTTATGCAAGAACCACAAAATATAGGCCACTTTGTAATATATAACACCAACTATATTGGCCCATATCTGTTAAATGTTTAAACTATTGAATTCAGACATTGAAATTAATGTTGAAAACAATTGAAGGAGCATCTTGAGATAAAATAATTTTGTGCAAATCAGACAAAGGAAAAGTTTGAAAAAGAAAAAAACACTGTTCCAGAGTTATTAACAAAAATGTAAATGATATATTATGTAAATTAGAACTCAGATCTGTGACTCATGTTCTTGGATAATAGGGATTTTTACTTACAGAGAAATCACAAGGATTTTTCTGCATTCCATTTTTTTCTTCTCACGGTTAATCATAAGGTAAGAAACTAATTTGTAATCTAGAATAATCTTTTTGCTTAAAACACAGCAGAATAAGTTCATTATAACTAATAATTTTTAGAAATGTATATAAAAGTTGATCAATGTCATGTCATTCATACTATTGACATACAGAAACACACAGAAGAACAAGAAACATGAGGAAAGAAAAGGGGAAAGCAAGAACAATCCCACACCTCTAGACCACGGGTGAATTGGTCTAATAGACTGGTAAAACAGGACAGCATTAATAAAAGACCAAATTATAACTATAAGCATATTATAAAGTTGTAATACAATACAACGATTCACATTATGCTAATTGTTTCTAGTTTGATTTAATAGATGTAATTTTCCTTCTCAATTAAAAAAAAAATCCAAAACTGCTTTACTTAGAATTGCAAAATATGACAGAGATGGCTAATTCTTCCCTATTATCATGATCTTCATATAACTATGTAGACACTGTGTGTTCTTCACTATATCTGATGATAACAATGTGACTTAGCACAAAGATAGCAAAAATGTCTCTCCACCACATATAAACATATAAAGGAGAATCAAATGTTTTGTTCCAGTTTCTCATGATTCTGGTGTTCATGATAATATTAACAATGGCCACTTTAAATCATCTATGAATTAGTGTTTCACTTTTGATGAAAATTGCAAAGGCTGTTCTTTAAAGTGACAGTACCTTTCAAATAATGGCAAGCAAATAAAATACAATATGCATTCTTCAGTTCAGAATCTAATACTGTGATCTATGAATAATTTCAAGGCTTGTCTTGATCATTGCATGCAAATACTGCAATACACATGGACCGAAACATATGATCAGTAAAATTGTCAACACAACAAATAATAGCAAATTGAAATATGTGGCCTAATATTAAAACATTGCCTCATCTCTTAACCACAACCATATACCTCTGTTTGGTCCACAATAATGTTTCTCATGTGATTTATCAAATCAGAGATATTGTTGTAGTAGTCTGGAATTAAAAACAGCAAGAAATGTTTATAATGAATTACAGCACTTCCTACTTCTTAGCAGTGTCGCCAAATTAATCATTACAAAACACATATTAATTCTCTGGAAGTCGGGCTAGATTAGTAAATACTGTTACTGCATTCCTGACATGAGTCAGACCCTGACTGACTCATGTCAGACATTGCCTGTAACATAAATACCAGGTTTAGTTTGGTCATCAGGATCACGTGTATTACAGTTTATTGCCCAAAAATGTACACCAGAACTTTCTAGGTGGGTTCTTTCTCACACCCTGACTATTGATGATGGTGTCTTTCCTTGGTTTGTAATCTCCTCAGTGGTGTCCATGTGTTGGCCCAGATTAACTAATCAGCTCGCATATGAAGGTAACACTGCGTTGTTCAGCTCCTTTACCCCCAATATGTCTGCCCTCCTAGTTAATTTGGATGTCCCCCTCGGAACGGGGCTGCCTTCAGAGTACTCGCATGTATCCACTGCGGTTGCAGGTCAGTCAGCACTCCCGTCCATGGCCGGACCCAAGTTTTTCAGCTCTCCAACTTTGACCAGTTTCAGACTCCTTATCAGCACCTGCTGGTTGGGCACAAATGTATGCGTCGACTTTTCTGAGGGAATAGAGAATGTTAGTGAGACATCAAAATTATCAGAAATAAAATTTTTCAACCAGGGCCGTAACATAGTCCTCCAGGATCACCTCCATTTCACCTAGGGAATAAACGCAAATGCGGCCTTTGACCAAAGGGGCTTTCGCACCACGTAGTTCCAGGAACTCAGTTAGGAACTAGCCAGCAGGGTGGTTCCTAGAGAACCCATTTCCCCCTCTGGCTGTTTTCATGGTTGTATTCAGCAGGAACTCTGAAGTGGCCAACAGCGACGTCTTTATGCACAGCATTTACAAACATCAACAACCTGTGAATGGAGAACGACGTGATCGGAGTTGTTTTCGTTGTGTGTCATGGGTTTCGTGATAATGGAGTGGGAATGTAAATGCACAATTTACATGATTGAAAGAGCAAAAAGTCGGGCTAAGAGACGAAATCTCCTATGACAACTTGCAGTGTTGCATATCATCAAGGCTGAGAAAAGAACACAACACTGCAGACAACAGGTAAATGCCGTTATTGCTGTTTTCCATGTTCATTGAGAAAATATGTTTACATGGCTTTTTAAAAATGCCGGGTAGCTGGTGTTTCATATGCGTTTGGCCAATCAGTGTACACTTACGTCACTGATAGTTCCTATAGAACTGTTTTAGATCGGTTTTCCCCCAAACGGAGTTCCTAGAACTAAAACCTTTGCACAGTGGGTATCCCAAACCTGGGTACAATCTCTTTCCACAACATTTTTTAACCACTCTTTCACACTCTCCCTCGCACATGGTAAAGCTTCTGGCCACTTTGTGAAACCTCTGTGAAGTTGGCACCCCATAAAAAGAAATAATCACCAAAACTATGCCATTGGTTAGGTGCTTCCAGCTTCGCTACCATTCGGTCGTTCTTGCTTACTGCTCTGCGCTTTGCTCCCTATTTCTGTACTTTTCTGATTTTCTGATTTTTACTTCAGCAGATCAGCACAGTGCTCAAACAACACATTTTTGGCACAAACGCTAAAACTAAAAACTCTTTGGGACTGGAATAATACCACGAAAAAGAAGACTTTGCCTTACATTCCGGAGAAGGGAAAACACAGCTGCCCACATTCAAACAGAAGAGAAAGAAAATGCCTCCTGTTGAATCTACTTGCTGCATGAACTGCTGCAAACTTCTACAAAGGATTGTGGTTCTTGAAACAAAGTTACTTGCTGGACTTCCAAAACAGGCAGAACACTCAGCAGACCGTCACCTTAG